CTGGTGTTCCGTCGCCTATAAGTCAATTCAATTTTGATAACATTTTATAATTTTGATTAAATCTTATATTAATAATAAAAGTAACAAGGCATAAATAGAGACATACTTTTCCAGCACTGACAGAATCTACTGTTTGAATGGCACTGAAGTGCAGAATAATCTCCATTTGGTTCGCAATTGGGAACCAAATTGACGGCTGCCTTGGACTTGACAGCTCTTGCTCTGGCGATCAGACACTCAGACAAATGTTGGCCTAAAGTTATAATTAATTATGATAAACACTGTATTGAAAACCTATAGTATAGAGCCATTACCTTGTTGTATTCGTTGGCCCTGTTGTTGACCAAAACTCACACAAACATAACAGCAAAGCACGAGAACAGAGACAACTTTGAAACTCATCTTCGAAATTAAGTTTTTACTCTGAGTTCAGATCTCGAAAACATTCCGCTTTTATACAAACATTTTTGAATAATTGCTGTCAAACCGCTCTCTTTGTTAATCAGATTTTGTTAAGTAAAAAGTTTGTAGTTATCCTTGAGATCCCATTCCTGGAACTGATTAAAAAGCGACAAACATTATACTTATACTTTACTTTCAAAAAAATTTGAAATTTTCCTAATTTATCACATAATCATTTGTCTGTATATTAATAGTAGTTGTTGTTTACAAATATCTATAAATATTATTCACATCAATTAATAAATTCTCGTAAATTGAAGTCATTAATCAGTAATCACATGAAAATCGTGCAGTGATGTCACTCTATTTGGTAATCAAATGTGATTTTTATTTATTAATTTCTCAAAAATTTCATAAATTTAATGAAACGCTTATATAATAGATATTAGTGACAGTAATTTTGATGATTATATAAAATGAATCTGCGAACCGACTGTACATTTCATTTTGAGAGTCAATCAGATTATTTGTTCTGTAAATTAAATTATAAGTTAATTGAATCGATAATTAATTAGAAAATAAATATTATCCTCTCTTTTCTGCGGAATAATAAAGATTTCAAAACTTTCAAGAAATACATCCAATAGGAAGTCATAAGAATAAAACAATAACAGAATTTAGTCATTCAAACATATATACGGTAAAATTAATTTATAATTATTTCACAGAAATTATTAAAAGTTGATAAATATTTTTCGTTATAATGAACGGAAATCACATTAAGTGAACAAAAAGTTGTGTTGTTTTTCGATCTGAAATGTCTTTTTCTACGGAAATCTCATTTAATAAACTAATAATAATAATAACTGATCAGGAAATCGATAGAATCAATGAAATTAGCAGAACTTCCAGCGCTTCCCGCACTCATTGCAGAAGCAGAATGTGGTCATCGGCTCGTCAGCGCTCCGGGTCTGTACCTATGGGACCATTCAATTGATGTTAATGTGATTGTGGTAAATGTTTGTCAAATCCAATCCAATCAATGATTACCTGATTGTAAGTACAGTTAGACTTCTTACAAGCGGGACATTTGAGTAAATCTGTTTTCGTGCCGGTAGTCATCACCATTTGGTGATCATTAATGGCTTCTTTCGTGAACTTTTGCCGCAATTCTTTCATATCATTGCTCGCCATCTCCTGAAATGCACCACAAAATTGTCGGTTAATTCAAACCAAACAAACAAATGGCGCCAAAAGCGTAAGCAAACAATGAGTGCTAACCTCTGCAGTCATGACCGCAATCTTCTCCGGTTTGATGGATCCGCGCAATACATTGAGCTTCAAGTCTGGGTTCTTCTTATCGTTAAGATTGGCGACTCGCGACCGGATCCGTGTCTTATACTTAGGGTTAGTGTCTTTGAACTCTTTGAAGATTTGGTCCTCAATTTTGCAGGCGATGTCTTCGGGATCAAAGAGTGTCTCATCCGAATCATACGAGTCCTCGTATTTCAGAGCATTGGCCAACAGTTCCCGACACTTGAGTCGCACGGAGTTTGTGGTGTCGGCCGGGAATGAGGTCTGTCTGAAGGGCGGCCCATTGGACCCACTCTTCGAACTGTTACCACTGTTTGTATTACTATTACTCTTCGTCTTTGACTCATTCGTCGAGTTATTCTTCTGAGTGTCGGCGCCATTATTGCCGGCTTTCTGTGCGTCTGTTTCCGGCTTCGAGTCCTTATCGGACAACAACTTCTTCCACGACTTGATCAGCGTCTTCGACAGTGTNAGTCATTGAATGTCATGTGTTTATAGAGGGATGAGTTGAACGACTCATGCGATCATTGGTGTGATAATGAGGTGAAGAATTGGGATACCATTTGGGGATATCGTAATGGCTTGAAGTCATTGTAACGGCCACTGCAACCACACCACAGATCAGTCTTTATATTTCGGTGTCAACTGAAAGGCAAAGTCAAAGCCAAATGGGAGACACATATGAAGACATTGAAGACATGTCTTGAATGTAAGCATCGTTTTCACAGTTTGTTTGCATTCATTGACACCAACGACGAGACCAAAGGTGTGTTGTTTTGTTGGGGAAGACGTCTGCGAACTCTTGCGACCAAAGAGTGAAGTATTGCTTCAATTGCTGTCAATCACTGGTGTCTGCAATGACACCATCTGTTTGAGTGACGTATTCATGCAAATGTCTCCCAAAGATCTGACGCAAGATAACAGTGAAGACAACCGACAGCAACACAAACCACTCAACCCTTCCGTCGATAATACCGTCGATTCGATCGCTTTTGGACACCAATCGGACCAGAGATCCACTTCGAGTGACACTCCGCCACAACAAACCGCTGAAGAAGTGAGCACTGAATTGAGTCCTCGTCTCATGAAAAACCATATCTTCGGTCTTGAGATGCCTTTCGATGTAATCAGCGCTGCCTTCGCCTCGACCGTCGCCATCGGCGGTCTCATCGGATACCTGAAGGCCAGTCAGTAGTCGTTCCCACTCTTAGTCTGTAGTCATGTCTTAGAAACGAATTAATTGTGATCTCAAACCCACCCAAAGAGAGCACTTATTCACTGATCGCTGGCCTAGTCTTCGGTGGTATCCTTGGGTTTGGCGCTTACCAGACGTCCGTCAATCCACGCAATTATTATCTCACATTAGGTTAGATCTACTCAATGGTGATAAAGAGATCCCAAATCTAAATGAATGTGTTTTGTTGCGACTGAAGGCACGTCTATAGCGTTGGGCGCACTGATGGGCTACCGGGCCATCAACTCCGGCAAGTTTATGCCCGCGGGTCTCATCGCCAGTCTTAGTGCTCTAATGATCCTCCGATTCACTGTCCGCTACTTCACTGATACTAATTATATCAGGAAATGAATGCTTCCTTTCATTTCATATGTATTTGACATTTATTTGACTCAAAAACTTTATTTTTATCAATTATTTCTATACTTTTACTTATTGTGCGAATCCTTTGTCTGTATTTTTTATTCAATTAATCATTTGATACAAAATTTATACTCAAATACAATAAAATCGGAGTTATATTTACCACATATATCGGTCATTCAGTATTAATTTAATATAACATTATTTTAAGAGAATTTTATTTTTCAAGTTGCAATGAATTTGCAATTTATTAGAAAGTCATTTAAACAACTTTTGTTTTTGATTCCACCCTTAAAGCCCATTTACTCGTTAGTTAGAAAATATATGATTTGATAGTTTTGATAACAATTGTGCTATAGTTAGCGACAGGTGACGGTTGAGCGAGTCTTTTGTCCGATTTGAGCGCCGAAGTCGTTGACACACCAACAGTGACCGGTCGACGCGTGACACTGTTTCTTAGCATAGCCTCCGTCGGGCGCGCATTGGGGCACATATGCGCCGATTACGACTAAAGTGCCGGAAAAACATACATGGAGATCATTCATTCAATGATTTGCTTTATCAATAACAAAATATATATTTTGAATGTCATACTAACCACCTAGATTACTGGGTGAACCAACATTGGTAACCCTATTTTTGTGCAAAATGCAGTCACATTTCCTAGTCTGGGTTGATGGCTGACTCACTGGTGTTCCGTCGCCTATAAGTCAATTCAATTTTGATAACATTTTATAATTTTGATTAAATCTTATATTAATAATAAAAGTAACAAGGCATAAATAGAGACATACTTTTCCAGCACTGACAGAATC